CTTATTTAAAAATACTGTTTCTATAAAGTAGCTTGCTATGCTAGTCCACTTGTGCGTATCTCTTAATTTCTATAAATGTGATAGTGCTATAAAAATATGCTATATATAATAAGGACATTTAACAATAAATTTTTTAACAGACCTTCATCAGACGTATAGTTTGTTTTATACGACCATTTAGAGAAAGAATTTCATTTTCTTGATAAACGTAAGATTGTCTCCATAGAGGCAGTGATGAAATCTTTTGACTTATTGATACTGCAAACCATTCTTTATTGGTAAACTGAAGTGAAAGTTATTTTGGAGTCATGTACAAGTGTATAGGTGGTACAAATTTGTATACAAAAATACATTTGAAAATAAGAAACATATAATAACCTCAGAGTTTATAGTACGACCAATAACACATCTTGTATCAAAAGTTAATACAGGAACTATATCAATTGAAAATTCTCTTTGATAATCGTAATTTTTAAATAGTAGTGTAAATGCAGGACCAGATTTTTTTGTTTTAACGAATTTGTAGGATTTACTATATGTCAATGGTACCTCACTGATAAAGCCACTTATAATACCTTCGAACCAGGAACGAAATTTGTGTGGATCGAGATAATTATTATTATCTATAATTCGTCTTAATTGTCTATAAAGTGCAACGTTTTTAATTAGGTTGTTGTTCTTATTTATTATACCAAACAATTATAATTTAATACATAAAATTGTTTAGGCTTGTGAAATTCAAAGTTTTAATTAAAAAAGAATTCCTTTATATTTTTTATGCCTTTACCGTGATAATTATCGAAATTTCAAAACCAGTTTTTCTTTTTTAAATTCTGCCACTTGAACAATATTTCTGTTCCTCAGAAAGAATCTGCAGTTTCATATATTCTATTCTTTCTTTTTCGGACCTAATTTTATAATTTACGATTAATTATAATAAAAATTTAACGATAAAATTTGCCCTGGACTTTCGATCTTTGCAGCTTTGAAAGCTTAAGCTATGACAGATTCAAAAGCGGGATACCGAATTGAACAAACCTAAGCAATTTCGACAAAATTATCTGAAAACATATTGAACATTTTCTCACTTTTTTTCTCCTTCTGTCAAGATGTACCTCGGCGAAACTGGATCGTCCAAATTATCAATTATTTGAATTCCGACAAATCCTGGTTCAATAAAATCAAGCTGCGGAAATGCACAAATGCTGTAGATCCCCGTAATATAATGCACATTACATAAAATATTTATTATAATAACAAGTTATGCCAATGTTATTTTTACCTTCATATCATTAGGGTGGATAATATATTTACGTAAGTTTAACACAATATTTATATCAAATTCGTTTGGTTCACTTATTTTCGTACCCTTGTAAAAACTACCACAAAAAACAACTTTGTTGTATGCTTTCTCAAATAAAGAATTCTTCATCCGCATTCTGTCTACCAAATCATTGATTACCTGTTTTATCGGGATAGAATGTTCAGTTATTTTCAGTTTTCCGGCTATGAAAAAGAACTTGGTTTACGATATTTAAGTTGCTTAACTATTTCTAAATAAAAACTCATGTTTTCCAACTTTTTCATCTGAACCTATTACAAAAATTTAAAAAACGCGTTTTTTAAACTTATTGCGTTAATATTAATAACAAACTTATTTGTTTTGATAACTTATGTGTGCATTAAAAATTGCAGGTTTCTCACACTTATTGGTCGAGAGTGTCAAAAATCGGGACAAAACAGCGATTTTTGCGATCTTTAATTATTCACAATTCATACCAAGGTCAACCGATTTCGATGAAATTCTCAACATGCATATAAATTACCGAAATCTACAAAACACATTTTTTAAATTTTCGTTATGGGCTCGGATGATAAAAGTTAACAAATGAGAGTTCTGTATTTCTCTTGTCATTCCAAGAAGTAGCAAAATTTAAATAAAAGCAAGTCTAGTAGAATGATCCCTTTATTATCTAACAAAAAAAAATTCAAGCCATTTAGTCTAATCCTGAAAAATTTATTGCATTATAAAAGGTGTCCAAATATTAATCAGAGCCACCGTAACTATGAAGTTGAGTGGTGGTTGTTGAATTATCTTATTGATTTGTTGGAGTAGTAGGAAACTGTTAGTGAACGTAGCGTCTTATTGTCTCATGTTGTCAATCCCGTGATTTATAATTAATGAAAATGACGAAAAAGATTATACATCATTACTCAAATGTTCAATTAACTATTTGCATCTGGTTTTTTTTCTAAATTCTGCTTTTTTTCTTATTCAAATTCCTAATGCTCACTCTGCTGCACTCTCGTACACATTTTCTCTAATCAACTCTCATCTGTTATATTAATATTATTATATAATAATATTATTATAATAACATGAAAATAATAACAGATCTTTTATTTAATCTTTTTGTGTATGCAATCGAGTAATTTTCAAATTAAAATCAAACCAAAAGCAGGGGTTTTGCAAAACAATATTTCTAACGTTAAAGGGATCCATGTATGAATAAAGTTTGAAATGATTGAAATACCTCCTGCAACATTTTGTTGGCTTCCTTCACATCCTCCTGTGCAAGTCTTATGAACATGCTTTCTACCAGTTGTAACGGTTTATCATTTTTCAGTAAGTTGGGATTATCCATCTATTATATGATATATGATCATAATTATAATTTTTGCATCTTTAATATAAAAGTCCAGCGGCGAGGGTATGCTTCACTAATTTTAACGAACTTGAAATATGTTATAAAGGTCAACGTTCTAGGCACTACTGCTTGTAGAGCGCTTCCACGGATGTGTGGTTACGATTTCGCGGGATTTTTTTCTTGGAGAACTTTAACGTTAACTTCAAATCATATTTGAGGATGTTGTTCGAAAACGGAACAACTTATTCCGGATTGGGACAAACTACCTCAGTTATTTTCAGGATTTAAAGGATTAATTTACACTATTAAGTTTACTGGACCATGGTGGTTTTCCAAGACACTTTCGGCTAACAGCTTTAATAAATCATTTAGTCTATCTTTCGATGAACGTCATTGTTCGTCTGAATCGATCAATTTTAATGCCATTTTTATATTATATCTATATATTTTATATCTATATATTATATATATATATATATATATATATATATATATATATATATATATATATTTTATATATATATATTTTATATATAGATATATATATTTTATATATAGATATATATATATATAAAATATATATATATAT